AGAGAGAGAGAGAGAGAGAGAGAGAGAGAGAGAGAGAGAGAGAGAGAGAGAGAGAGAGAGAGAGAGAGAGAGAGAGATTGCCATGCTGTCCACGTGCGGATTCTTACACGTGCCTTGTGGTCTCGTCTTTGTCTTGTATCTTCCAGGAAATGATCCAAGATGCACGCCACGCAATACGGCTGCTAACAGCAAATTCCAAGCAGATTGAATGTTGAACACTCCATTCATACGTGACAGGGCCTTCTTAACAACAATGGCACTCTTATAATTGAAGGCAACTTCCAACGACTACCTCCGAGCCACTTTCAATCACACCGTCGGCCCATTCAACCGAGACTTACACACACACACAGAGGGTTGGTGCGAGTAAAGTCAACCACTTTTCTTAGGGGTATGGCTAGCTCCGGCTGACGTGGTGAGTCCTTATCCATCACTCGAATCCATCCTCGACAGACTGTAGTGGTTCAACCTCCTGATGAGCTCTCTTCTTTTATTTGCAAAATGTTCTAAAATGTTCTTTCTTTTTTGCGGGCGGAGCCGCAACAGGTAATCTAGTGAGTAACCACTATAACTATCAGAGTCGTTTCTCTGGGGGGATTTCGATGAAAGCATCCTGACCGCCTGGGACCCACTGGCCTAGCATCTCTGCAGGAGAGGCGTGGCAACCCGACCTGGACAGATCACGGGCGGACCAGGCAACCTGGCCCTGCACAGGTTCTGGAACACGCGTCTGGAGTCCTCTTTTCTTCTTGGATTAGGGTAGCATCTTGACCGTGTTGGTTCGAAGCCGGCGCGGATCAGGCTCGTATGAGCCTCGGTTAACTACATTTAATCGCCGGTGGTTGTGTGGGGCGTTGCGAAGTGGGTACCAGGTGTGGTCATCTCTCGGTTAACTACGTCTAAGCGCCGGTTATACGAGAAAGGGGGGCAGATATGCATTCACGTTGGGCGCGTAGGGTGTGGCTGATGGGTGCCACGCGTCAAAGGCTGGTGGTGCGACGTGTCACAGGGTGTTTGGTGCGACGTGTCATGAAGTGTACGTACGTGCGGCGCTGTATATACCAGCTAGAGGCATTGTTATAGAGAGGTGAGTTTTTTTTTTTTTTTTTTTCCTGCGGGTAGCGCCAATCCAAGACAGGTTAGAAGCTCAAATCCTCCCCGTCTTCCGCCGATCCCCCCAATGATAACTGTATACGATCGATGTTTGGGGTGCGGTGTGTTCGGACAGCCCMCCCCCCCCCCCCCCGGTCAGAGGCAGTCAGGGATGGGGGAGCGCTGTGTTCGCCGAAAGACAGTTGTGGACAGTGTTGCAGTGAGGGAGAGAACGTGGGGTGTAAGGATCTCTGACGTGATATCGGGCCTCGGCGGACCACTCACCAGATATGCAAAATGGAGGATGCATCTCCTGCTAGAACGTGGAAAGGTACACCCGCCGTAGTTTTGGTCTTTTTAAAATTTGGTGAGCGGTGCGGCGAGGCTCATGTGCGGCCAATAAATATCGGTGTGGGAAAAAAATAAATAAAGGGCATACGCACACTAGGAAGCTTTTCAACGCAGCTGTGGACGTGATTACGGCCACATACACGCATGGCTCGCCGTAATTGCAGTCTGATACATCCAGAGAAGTCGTAGTGTGAGTCACTCTTAAGCTCTAAGAAGAATGTATGGGCGCCATTTTCTATGCCAATTTTGATGTATGGAAAAATGTTGAAAAAGAAGCAATTGGATTATATTTGCCGTTGCGGTGACGATCAGTTGTGATTGGATGTCTATTTCCTCAGTTTTTTTTTTCTTTTCTGCAATATTTCCTCAATTTGGTGTTCGTTAAGGACAGGGGCGCATGCTAATCTTCTCTGTTTTTGTTCCTGATTTTTGTCTTCAGGTTTTCTCCTCCTCCCCCCCTCTCTCTCTTCCCCTTTCCTTTTCAACTCCCTGCTTGGCTTTTGACCGGCTGAAGGGCCAGCGTTTTGGAGCGTCAGCTGCACACCGTCAAGATGGGGGCAGATAGGAGGAGCAACTTGAAGAACCAGCTTTTTGGCGCGTCCGATTCCGAGGAGGATTCGGAGGACGACCATCCCGTCTCAGAACAGGAGGTAGGTCCTGCCCCCACGACGGTGCACGTCCGCTCTTCGTTTTCTCTGAGAACGAGTCTAGGGGCCCTGCTTTGTCCACAGAGAGAGAGAGAGAGAGAGAGAGAGAGAGAGAGAGAGAGAGAGAGAGAGAGAGAAGCTCTGCTTTGTATTGCGTCGATATTGTTACTAGAGAGGGGAATTTGGTGGGTGATATGAAACGAGAGAGAAAGAACAACCATGGTACGCTGTTTTTCTAATCGTTATTACACTTTCAAAAAATAGGTGACCGTCGGGTCGAACAGATCGCATGTCACGTGTGTTGCCCTCCTTATATATCGTCACAAATTTATGAGAGCGCAAAAGCAAAAGAAAGGAGAGAAAAATAAATTCATTTTTTATCTTCTTCCTTACAACCCCCCCTGTTCAGAACGTCTTGCGTACGAGGCCGCCCACGTGGATGTAGGTTGAGCGGCGGCTGCCCCAACCCCCGTGTCTCATATCGACCCACTTGCACACAGCCAAAGGGCAAAGAGGCAAGGAAAAGAGGAAGGGAACAGCCAAATACAACAAAACAGGGGGCAACAAGCAACAGCGCACAAAAAAACGGATCCTAGATGACAAGTCCCACATGCAAGCACCGCCGCTCCTTCACAGGCCAAACGACGGGGCAAGACCACCCAGGACAAAACACTCTTGTCTGCAACAAAGGAATCCCAGATACATATCTATACACAGCAGATGTCCTTATTCGTCATCAAGAAGTTGGTATTCCTATTTCGACGCATGCTTGGCTCGTCCAGACTGAAATACTGGGACACCACCAACGGCAAAAAAAAATATAAAGACCATCCCAGATGATAATTCCCACCTAAAAGCACCGCCTCCCGTGGCCAGGCTGAACAACGGGAACCAACCAACTCGGATGCCAAAAGGAAAAAAAAACGCCACGTGGACCGAACAACCCACATAAAAACACCGCCACGTGGACCGAACAACCCACATAAAAACACCGCCACGTGGACCGAACAATGAGACAAAACCAACTGGGATGCAGACAAAGATGCCAAAAATACTAACAATTCTGCCATAAACATACTTGAAAAACGGGAACCGTACAGTATAGTAGGTCCGTAAAACGAAATACCCCAACAATGGGGAGAGCAAAGCAAAAAGAAGAAAAAGAAGAAGGACAGAGTATATTCTACCATAACCAAAGAAAGAGCCTGCTAGTATAGGCCCAAGTAGAGAGCTAGCAACGTCGGAGTAGATATCGTCACAAAGTTATCAGAGCGCAAAAGCAACAAAAAGGAGAAATAAATAAATTCATTTTTTTTTTTTCCTCCTTACGACTCCCCCTGTTCAGAATATGTTGGTTGTCCTCTTCTCCCTCTCTGCCTACGGTTTACAGGGCAGCTCTGTTTGACGATGCGGCCTAGTATGCAAGAGGTTTTGAACAGGGGCCTGGACCCATTAGCGAAGTATTCTACCACTCTGTTCAGGATTTCGATCGGGTGTGGCCTCGAGTGATGCAGTAGAGCCGTCGAATACATCGGATCTCGACGGCCTGGTAGTTTCCGAGCGGGGACTGTAAAGATGCCCACCTCTGTGCAATGAGATGCATCCAAAAACAAAGAAAAACAAATTTGGACATGAGAGCTCGAGGCTTTGCGTGGGCAGGAAGTCTGGATTTTATGGACTCGAAAGGGGCGGGGGGTTGATTTCCAGACTTCGTTGTTGTTGTTTTTTGGCTCTGAGAAATCAAACTTGAAATGGGAAATTCAAATATTGTGGTGGATCTGACAGGAACACCTCCGTGTCTGTCGGATGGCCTGTTAGAGGCATCATGAGATACATGGTGATGCCCCCTACCCGTTACTTGTTCATCCTCGTGGCTGAGTTCGTGGGCACATTTTATTGCCACGGTAAATCACTATGAAGACTTACGTGAAGGAGATCGTACCAACCCATGAATTCGGGTGCACAGCTGTTCTTCTTTGTTTTATGTGCCATTTCAATTCATTTTAAATCAGAAAAGGATCCATTCATGCAAATAAAAAATCACTTTGTCTTTTCCAAAAAACCATAAAATTGCGTCACACATCGTAGAATACTTCGCTAGTGGGTCCAGATAAAAAATGAATTGTTTTTTTTTTTTCGCTTTTGCGCTCTGATATCTTTGTGACGATATATAGTCAAACAGAGCTGCCCGGTAAATCGTAGGCAGAGAGGGAGAAGAGGACAACACACGAGGGGCTGTGACAGACTGTTTCATTGGAGTTTAACTCCCCGGTGAACCGTAGGCAGAGACGGAGAAAACAATAAACGAGGGGCTGTGACAGACTGTTTGGCCGGAGTTTTACCTACCTACTCATCAGGAGGCTGAACCCTCAACGGTCTGCAGGAGAGTCCACTAACCTCGATGATGATCCTGTATGTGATGTAATCCACCTTAACCCGGTTGCGGTTGACTGCCTGACAACTGGTACCCTGAGTGAGAAAGTGGGGACCACAAACTGCTTCGCTCAAGGTACCTGTGACGAAAATCGAAGCAGACTATCAATCACGCACAGCAGATGGAGGTTCACACCTCATCATAAGCCACCAAAACACCCACGAAACAAAGAAAGCTCTGTCACCACCTGAAAATACAACTCCAGACACGCTGCGGGCACGAGAGAGAGTCCGGTTCTTTTCCTTTCCTCCCTTTTTGTTTAAGGGTCAAACAGGTGAGCTCTCTGTAACTATATATATGTGCCCCTCGTTTGTTGCCCTCTTCTCCCTCTCTGCCTACGGATTACCGGGCATCTCTGTTTGACTATATATATGTGCATATCTATATATTATAGTATAGTACGAATTGCTTACGATGACGCCGAATAGGAATACCAACTTCTTGATGTTGAAAAAGGCCATCTGTTGTGTATAGATATGTATCTGGGACTTCTTTTGCAGACAAGAATGTTTTGACATCCTGGTTGGTCTTGTCCCGTCGTTTGGCCTGTGTAGGACTGGGGCAGTGCTTGTGCAATGACTTGCTGATTTTGACTCCCGAGACTGACTGCGAGGCTGTACAGTAACAGCGGTAGGGTAGATTCGTAATTTTGTTTGGCTGAGGACTAACTGAGAGACCTACCTGTACGGAAAATTTGTGAGGGACATATCTGCAAATATGGGAAATATAGGCCCAGCACTAACCCGAATTTCCTACAGCTACCCCCACTGCGTATAGCAGACCCGGGCTACCCCTAGGACGGACAGGCCCAAAGGGCCTATACCGTTAGACGGTCCTATAGCCTATAGCCGGGTAGGTAGAGGCCGAGAGGCCGAAACTGGAACGGTACCGGTCGGCCCAGTCAGTCAGGTCTAGGCCTAGGTTAGACTAGTCTGGATCTATTAATAGTTGAAGGAAAATCGATTCAGGACTTTTGGCTGTTCATTCTCGCGAAGTAGTGTTTGGAGAAGCCAAGCAAGTTGGCGGTGACGATTGTCTACAGGCGGCATCCTGAGAGCCTCGCCGTGGACGACAGCCATAGCCGGCCTTCAGAAGGTTGCCAAAGCTGGGGCATCCTCAGAGCATCTACCCCTGAGGGTATCTGCGCCTGGCAGGGCTATATTGAGGCTCTTCACTGAGTATTCCTGGGTGGCGGCAGCCATAGCTGCCTATTTCTTCGTCAGAGTTGTTCACCGGCACTGAAGACTTCATCGCAGGATCTGTTCTCCATCTGGGTGGTTGGCGCTGGCCTCTGGGAGGCCATTTCGGGGTTGCGCTACTAACTGGGTGTAGGGTAAAGAGTGGAGTGTGGGGTTCTGAAAGTTGCGAGATACTGGAACAAACTCTGTAACGATATTTGGTTTGAGTTGGCTCATCATCAGTGTGAATTCCAATTGTTATCCTCGCAGGTGTCTTCGTGTGATTGGTTGTTGGGAGTCTGTCAGAGAGTGAGAAACCCAGGGTGTCTTCTCCCCATCTGTGCATGGTTGAACTACTCTGGTCTGTGTACAGTTTCGACTGTCTCCTCTCCCCCTTCTCTTATGCATGTATGGGCGTCTATGAGACTGTCTGTGTCTGAGTGGCGGTAAAAATCATCAGACAACCAAGTTCATAACACTTGCATGTGGGACTTGTCATCTGGGATCTGTTTTGTTGCCCCCTGTTCTGTTTTATTTGGCTGTTCCCTTCCTTTTTTCTTTGCCTCTTTGCCTTTTGTCTGTGTGCAAGTGGGTCGATATGACACACGGGGGTGGGGGCAGCCGCCGCTCAACCTACATCCACGTGGGTGGCCTTGTACGCAAGAGGTTCTGAACAGGGGGAGTTGTAAGGATGAAGATAAAAAAATGAATTCATTTTTATTTTTTTATTTTTTTTCGCTTTTGCGCTCTGATATTCATGTGACAATATATATGTTATGAACTTATGATCCTGGCCAATTTCGAGATACACATCCATCGGATAGTACAATGTCTTCCAATTGCATAAAGAAATGAACGAACTTGAGAGGAGAGAGAAGGTTAGAAGAAGAAGAGGAAGAAAGAAGAAGAAGATGATGTTCACCAGCATAAACAAATGATAAAGCTCTTCTTCTTCGCTCAACTCTCTCTTCCTCCTTATCTCCTCCTCTCTTAGTCACACAAGAAATAATAATACAATGTTGAATAGCTGAGGTCCACCATAATCAAAGTCCGAATCCCTCTTCTACTGCAGGTATCACTGGAGGTCCACCATAGCCATGGCCGCCTCTCCCACTCTTCACTCTCATAGGCCGAGGCTATGGTGGACTACTAGGCCTTGCCCAGATGCCCAAAGGACAACCCACAGCAGCTATGGCTGCTCTAGCTCAGGCCGCCATGCTTGACCCTGCCTCGAAGCTTCTTGGTGTAGCTCAACCCCAGCTGGGGCCTTCCTGCTGCAACGCCCACCAAGGTGATGAAGATGGCTGCCACCATAGCCAGGTATGTACCTCTGGCGCTCCTCCCCCTTCCTGTCCTTCTTCCTCCTTCGAGTCCTTGCTTCTTCCCCAGCA